TGAGAGTTTATTTCTTAGCCTGAGTAGTTGTTTGCTTTATTATTGTAGTTCTTTAACACTGGGCCCATAGGTGAACCCATGAAAGATTTTTTTGTTTTGTTTTGTTTTTAATGCGTGATAAAGGAAAACTGTTTCCTGACTCAGAACACTTCTAACACCCAATGTGTGGGTTTTCCACACCAAGCAATTCTCCAGTTTTCTATGGACACCAACTGGGGTGTCCTACAGTTCAATTCAGTTCTGACACTAACTACCCAGAGTTAGTGCAGACTGCCCAGGCTAAGGACTCAATCCCACGGGACTGCCCCCCACTTCAGCCTCCAATCATTCATGAGTCAGAAAAAGAGTTAAGAAGAATGAGTCTGGGAGCTAACAGGAATAGGTTTAAAGATTAACCACTTTAATCTCGAGCCTCCTGGCTAGCACTACACTTCCAGGTTGACAAATACCAGAACAATTTTTGGAGGAAGTCAACTGCAACAACAGTTCTCACAAGGGGACAGCCACAATGGTAAGTGGCTGCAAAATGACTAGTCCCCTACATCCTGCATAGAAAAATATAAAACCCCAGCTAACCAGCAACCTGCTGTAGCTGTCTACCCCAGACTGCCCCGGTATCCCTCTGCTGGTGTTTCTTCCCTTACTACCAGCGGAAGCCATCTTCTTTAGACGTTGCCATGGGCATTGTCTGTGCCCCACCTTCAATAAAACTTGCCTTGCTCTCCTAGTTTTCTGAGTTTTGTGAATGCTTTCACATTCTGTGAATGGCCAGGGGTAATTCTACACCAATACAATCATTAAGTCCCAGGTTGTCGCCTTTACTTCTGACTGACTGCTATTAATTGGGGGTTCCCACGACCTCCTTCTCAGGTTCAATAACTTGCTATAACAGCTCATGGAACTCAGGGAAACATTACAGAGTTTTCCCAGCTTATTATAAAAAATACAAATGAACAGCCAGATGAAGAGATACACAGAGCAGGGGCTGGAAGGGTCTTGGGCACAGGAGCTTCTGTCCCCATGGAGTTGGGGGGCATCGTCCTCCCAGCACATGGATGTATTCACCAATGCAAAAGCTCCCTAAATCCTGCTATTTGGGGTTTTATGGAGACTCCATTACGTAGGCACAATTGATTGAATTGATTGGTGATTAAACTCAATCTCCAGCCCCTCTCCCCTCCCTGTATATGGGGAGCTGGGGGTTAAGCTGAAAGTTCCAACCTTCTAATCACATGGTTTGTTCCTCTGGAAGTTACAAGGGCTCTAGAAGCTCTGCACCAGGAATCGGGAATAAAGACCAAATATGTACATCTTATTATATCACAATATCACACATGGAAAGGCCGATTTTCCTTCAGAGAAAGGTATTTATGGTTTCAAATTCCCTGTGTCAGCCCTTTATTTCCATTCTAAACCCCAGGGACCCACTCCTCCCCACTCAGTGCCCTGACCTCAGCATAAGAGCCCATTGGGATCGTGTATTTAAATGGCTTCACCATTCTGTAACCCATATACAATCAGGCATTAGGTCTGATCACCTGCTCCTGTAAAAGATAAGCAATTGTGTAATGGCGATCATGAAACAAAAAACCATATGTTCTCTCACACACAAGAATGTTCCTTGTAGCAACAAAATTGGCAAGCACACAAAATGCCATTACCAAGAAAATGGACAATTAAATTAATTAAGTTTTGAACTATCGATTTTTACAGTTGGAATGTGATATGGCAGAGAAAGGGAGTGTTCTAGAGCCACTTGAGTCAACATGGATGAATCTTAAGAATGTGTCACTAGGCCGGCCGAGGGGCGCATTGGTTAAGAGCTGGCTTGGGACGCCAGCTCTGAGCATCAGGGCCCTGGTTCGGATCCCCCATGGGGGCCAGTGACACTGCCCTCTACAGCTAAGGTGGTGAACAACAGCTCCACCTGGAGCTGGGCTGCCACGAGTTACTGGCGACGGTGTAGGCTGCAGCCCCTGCTGCAGTGGGCTGCCATAAGCTACCGTGAGTGGCCGGCAGCCGGCGTGAGCTGCCAAGAGCCTCTGCGAGCAGCCGTCCAGAAGCCGGCAACCGATCTGCCTCACCCAGGAAGAACGCAATGATAATACCAACTTGGGCCAGTGAAGCGACGTCCTCCACAACTAGACTGAAGAACAAAAGGACAGCAACTTTGTTCCCCTCCCCCAAATTCCCCAATAAAATCTTTTTTTTTTTTTTCCAGCTGTCCCATCTTGCCACCTTTTGGCAGCTCAGCGGCTGCTCAGCTCGGGTGGGACTCAAACCGCTGTTGCTCAGAGCTTGCACTCTTGAGCAAGCTCTTAACCAACTGAGCCACTCGGCTGACCCCCCAATAAAATCTTTAAAAAAACAAAAGAATGTGTCACTGAGTAAATAGAATCAAGTGGCAGAAGGACACGTACAGTATGGTATGTTTTTATAAAGTCGAATAGCGTGCACAAAACAGCAATTTAGTATTGGAAAATCTAAGTAAAGTGAGGGGAAGAGTCATTTAAAAATCTGAGGGAGTGTATTCCAGGCAGAGGACGCAGTCAGTGCAAAGACTCTGAGGACAGAATGTGCCTGGTATATTGGAGGAACAGCAAGGAGATCTGTATGGCTGAAGCAAAGGGAGTGAGAAGGAGAGTGGGAAGAGGTGAGGGCAGGGAGGGGACAGGGCAGGTCATGCAGGGCCACAGAAAGGAGCTGGGATTTTTATCTGAGTGAGGTGGGAGCCAAGGAAGATTCTGAGCAGAGGAGGAACATGGCCTGACTCAGGTGCTCATGGTGCCCTCTGGGCAAACCAAGGACAGACTGTGGGGGGCAAGGGCAGGAGCCCCGAAACAACAGAAGCAACTGCAGTGGTCCAGGCATGTGATGATGGGGGCTGAACAGGGAGGTGTGAGAAGCAGGCCAATTTTGCTGATGAATCAGAGGTGGGTGTGAGAAAAATGGGGGAGTCAAGTAGAACCCTAAGATTTCTCTCCCTGAGCTAAGGAATATTTCCATTTTTCTCTTGAGTTCTTCCATAGGTGGGCTGAACAGGTACAATAAAATACAATTGTTGGTTTGTAAACTGGCTCCTGGTACACAGAGGACAAGGAAAGACTGAAGAAAGAGGCAGATCACTCCAGATTGGCAGGTGGCAGTTTTCATAAGCTAGAGAATTTACATACGAGGTTTGTCTTAGGTGGCTGCAAGACAAGTAGATCTTTGCACCTGCCCACCAGAATCTTAAAAGTTTATATAGAGGCCTTACCTGATTTCAGTCACATATAGTGTCCAGAGGGTCTCAACAACACCTTACTCTCTCAAGGCCGTGTCCTTGGAACTGCCCCCACTGTGGGAATGGTAGGCAGAGCATACATTCCAAGGACAGGGGAGGGGTGAGGAGCCTGTGATTGTCTGGGTCCAGCTCGAGGGCCAACCGGGTGTTACGACCTCTTGATGACCTCCTCCAGCAAAAACACATTCTTTTTATTCCTCTCCTTTATTATAAAATATATAGACACTCTGGAGATGTCTCCATATTAGTACAAAGGCCCTCATTTATTCCCCAGCTGCATATTCTTCCCTTGACAGGATGTCACTGTTAATTCCCCAGCCCCAGGTTCCCAGCACTCACTACCCTCCAGGAGCCAGGCTGAGTCTCTCTCTACAACTTCACACTGAATCTCCGTAGCTGCCTTGTGAGGAAGAGTATGTCTTTCCCTATATTTTCTCAGTGAGGAGCAGCCACGTGCCCTTGGCTACAGCAGTTACGGCTCCAACTCAAGAAATAAACCTGGTTCTGCCTTTTTGTGCTGTGACCTAGGAAAGTTATTCAACCTCTGTGAAAGAAAAGATTATTCTGATGCTTGTTAAAATGGTAAGAAAAACTTAATTCGTGTCTATTGCAATAGGGGGATTGAAATAGGGTTGAAATATCGGGGTCAATTCTGAGTACAGCAAAGACAGCTGGGGAGCCAAAGAGCAGAGTGGGGGTGGGGGTGGTCTATGGTTGGAAAATGGCTAAAGAGTGAGACATTAAGGATAGGGGGACTCTTGTTAAACTGACTTAACAGAATTTTTCCTAAAGAGAGGCCAAGGACTTATGCATCAAAGGTTGGGGATGAGGAACTTGATCAGATATCAAGGGTGGTGGGATGACTTAGGAGTCTTTGCTCAGACTGGGCTGGGTAAAGGCAGAACCTGGGGCAAGGCGGAAGGCTAGAGGAGAAGAGGCCTCAGAGGATTAAAGTTTGGTTAAGGAGAGAGTCTTTGGCACCTCTCTGTGCCTAAGTTTCTTTTTCTGAAAAATGGGTATAAGAGCTCCTACTCAGAGGACTGCTGCCAGTATCAAATGAGATAATGCGTGTAAAACGTTAAGCGCATAGCCTTCTTGGTAAATGGCAGAGACTTGCTGTGTGGAGATTAAAACTCAGATCAGGTGGGACGTCCAAGTTGCTACTTTGACAGCAAGGTGGCCTCGGAGGACAGGAATGCAAGAGATCTGGAAAGGGATGTGAGCAGGTGGGATAGAAATGCCTTCCGTAGAGAGGAAGGGGGCGTCTCAGCCAGCAGATGGGGCTGGCCAGGCAGTGACATGTCAGGATGGAATGGGGAGGCATACGGCAGACGGCTGGAGTACTGAATGGCGACCGGCTGCAGCCTTGATCCCCGAGACGGGGATCTGGGGCTTGCACCAGAGTCAGGTCCGGAAGCCTGACTTGGGCCTACCGCCCAGGGGGCAACTGAGATCGCGCCGTAGCTGGAAGACCACATTCTCCCGCCAGCCTGAGGGCCACCCACTTCCGCGTCTCCGCCCACCCCGCGTCAGCCAGTCGCGTACGCTCTGGCGCATTCCGGAGCCAACCCAGCCAATCGTGGTTGAACGGGAAAAAAAGCGATCCAGGAACCAATATGAGCGCCTCCGTTACAGCAAAAGGACCAATAGTTACGTGCAACTGTAGTGAGCGGCCAATGAGTGTGACCGTTTCAAGCGGCCAATGGGAGGTGCTGTCTCGGCGGCGATCAGACGGAGGCTGCGGTGGGCGGCGGGGCTGGGTCCCGGGTTCGAGTTACTGTCCCCAGGATGGGGTGAGTGTGGAGAAGGGCCTGGGAAGTGTGCCCCCCAGAGGTCATCAGGAAGGATGCGGCCGGCGGGAGGCGCGGGACTGGCAGCGCTTGGCCGGAGATGAATAAAAGCACCCGCTGCCTCGGGACTGGCCGATGCCTGGTGGGTGCACGTCACGGCGCCTGCCCGTCAGCGGGGTTTGGAGGTTTGGGTGTGTGGGGGTGCAGGCTTCCTGGTGCAGACCACATCCTGACCCTATCTCAAAGCTGGGTCTGGGCCTAATGGGGACGAGGAAGGAGGAGATGGGCACCCAAAAGCCCCATCCCCACGTATTTTATCAAACGTTAATAGATAATAATAGCGAACATTTATCGAGGGCCTGCTGCGTGCCAGGGCCTGTGCTGAGCCTTTTCCCTGCCTCATCTCATTGAATCCTTCCCACAATCCTCTGAGAGAGTGACCTTTATCTGCCCATTTTCCAGATGAGGAAACAGGCTTAGAGAAAGGAGCTGATTCCTGACAAATTTGACATGATGCTATTACAACATTCTCCTCTTCCCATCACTGTTTGTCTTAAATCAGTAACATTGGTGGAATCAGTGGAATCACTGACAGCGCCTCCCTGGAGATACCGGAGACCTCAGGAGGCCTGGGCCCTGAGCCTGGCTTTTGAAAAGTCCTGGAGCTGGGCTGGAGGTAGAGAACTGAACACAACCCTTCCTTACTCTGGGGGGTAAGAAGGACCTGGGGTTGCCTATGGGGGTGGGGATGGGAAGTAGGAATCTTGGACTGAAACGAAAAAAACGATCACGAGAATGAAACCAATAATAATGATTTTACTCTTGTTTTTGTCATATTTGTTATTTTTTAGGCCTGTATCAAGGTTTGTGCTGAACATATGAGGAACATGTGGAATTGTGTTGAAACATCACAGCCATCTTTTGATGGCAGCGCTCTCAGAATCTCTCTTCTCTCAATGGGGAAACTGAGACCCAGCGTAGCTCAGTGACTTGCCGGAGTTGACACAGGGAGTGCCCAAATTTACCCGCCCAGGTCTGTTTGACCACACCTGTCTGCGTGGTTATTTTGGGACTGTGGGTTCAGAGCAGATTTTTTTTTTAATTAAAGCTTTTTTGTTTTTTCAGGAAGGACATTTTTTTTTTAACTTTATTGGGGAGCAGTGTGATTTTCCCAGGACCCATCAGCTCCAAGTTGTTGTCCTTCAATCTTAGTTGTGGAGAGCGCAGCTCAGCTCCAAGTCCAGTCACCGTTTTCAATCTAGTTGCCAGGG